CCAGTAAGCTGTCTGATTACCTTCGAAGCCATCGTGAGGAAGAGCAAGATTCTGTGCTATTCTAATTTCTGCAGCAGACCAAGTATCAGAAAAGTATATGTAAAATGAATGTTTGTAAATCCACTGGAATTTGAAACGTATTAAAACAGCCTGATATTTAAGGAAGTCTTTCTTTTTTTGAACCAGAGCTTTAATCTATAAAGCAAGCCATCACCACGACCCCTAACTTACATATTTTTGGTGCAAATCCAAATTTCCAGTACAACGACACCTCCGCCCTTGTCTTTGTGTTACCAGGAGGTGGCTAGGCAGAGCAGTGGATAGATCCCTTGGCTGGAAGTCATGAACACCTGAATTCCAAATCTGGCCTCAGACACTGATTAGCTGCGTGACCCTGGGCAAGTCACATAACCTGTCTGCCTCAGTTTACTCAACTATAAAATGGGAATTCATAATAGCACATTTCCCAGGATTGCTGTGAGGATCAGATGAGATAATGTCTGTAAAGTGCTTAGCACAGTGCCTGGCACACAGTAGGTGCTTACTATCTCCTGGTTCCCTTCCTCTTTCCTCCTCCAACCCAGCGTCTGGCACACACTAGGCACTTAATAAATGTTGTTGGTTGACTGATTGAGGGCAGAAACTATTTTTATTTTTGTATCACCAGCATAGTGCCCAGCACACATAATTGCATAATAATTGCTTGTTGTTTGAGGAGGAAGAGAATACTAATCAAGAAGGTCAGGAGACACTTCTCAGAGCAGGTGACACTAGGTTGATTTATGGTGTTGCAAAGCCGCCTGGGGCATGGAGAGATTACACAGCTAGTATGGCTAAAAGGCAGGATTCGAACCCAGGTCTTTCTTGTGCCAAGGGCTAGTCCTCTATACCATGCCATCTATCTCTCCCTTTCCAGTTTTATTATCTCTGAAACTCACAGTTAATAAGGTCCAGAGGATGAGGACCAAGTGTTACCCATCTTTTCATTCCCCAAGCCCCATGCCCCCAAGATGGTGCCTGGAAAGTAACAGTAGTCACTCTTGATCTCCTGTTGAGCAAATGAATAAAGAGTGCGCGCACCAAAGCCAACAATCTGTGGACAAGGGAGAGACGAACAAAATGTAACATGGTACATGGGTATAATGGAATATATGAAGAAACAATGGGGGCAGCTAGGTGGTGCAATGGATAGAGCACCAGCCCTGGAGTCAGGAGGACCTGAGGTTCAAATCTGGCCTCAGATACATAACACTAGTTATGTGACTCTGGGCAAGTCACTTAACCCCAATTGCCTTAAAAAGAGAGACAGACAGACAGACAGACAGACAGACAGACAGACAGACAGAAAAGGAGACAATGAATAGGAAGACAACAGAAAAGCATGGGAAAGCTTATATGAACAGATGCTGAGGAAAAGAGGCAGACCCAGGGAAAGAGGAAACATGTCAACAGCAAGGACAATATAAGGAAGCTAAAGGGTTTGTAACTGTCATGATCAATCCTGACCTGGAAAAGAGGGGGACACATCTCTGTCCTTTCAATGGAGAGAGAGAGGTGGGTGGTTATGGCTTTGGACTATCACTTGTGCTGTTGGCTGGTTTTTGCTAAAATAAATTTTTGAAAGATTTTTGGTTCAAGGGAAGGCTGGGGGGAGGACTATATTCCAAAACGAACTTGATATCACAACAGTGTTATTCCCCGATAGATAAATGCTCAAAAGATATAGAGGCAGTTCTCAAGCGAAGAAATCCTAGTTATTAATAACCATATGAAAAAGTACTCTGAAATCACTAATACTTAAATGTAAATTCAAGTAGTGGTGAAGTCCCACCTGATACTGGTTAAATTAGCAACAGCAAAAAGGGAAATAAAGTTGTTGGGGTGGGGCTTTGGGGAAAACAAGCATATTAATGTACTGTTAATGGAGATGTGAATTAATCCAACACTCTGAAAAGTAGTTTGGAACTCTGCCCCAAAAGGTGGCTAAAGGCAACCCAGTGCTACTGTTAAGAGGCCGATACCCACAAGAGACCAAAGAAAGGAGAAGAGAACCCATCTGGAAAGATGTCTTTATAGCAGCTCTTTTTGTTAACAGCAAAGAACTGGGAAGTAGGTGCCCGTCAGCGGGAGAATGGCTGAACAAATTACTTCACATGAATGTGATAGAACACTGCGATGCCATAAGAAATGATGAAAGGCATGGCTTCTGAGAAACCTAGGAAGACCTTTATGAACTGACGCAAAGTAAGGTAAATGAGCAGAACCAGGAGAATCAATTCGACAGTGACAACGACATTGTAAAGAAAAGCACCTTTGAAACTCCGAGCCGGGCAACAGCTAATCACAGCTTGAAACAACAGTAATGATGTCATAACACTCAAGTCCCGTCAGAGGGATTTGAACCCAGACCCTCTTCTTGCAGAGCCAATGCTCTGACCGTATTGCTTCCCTTACTACTTTACCATCTTAAGGTGCAGAATGAGATCTGTGTTTTCAGACACAGCCGGCGGGGAAATCTGTGTGACTTGACTACACATATTTGTGACAAGGGTTTGGGCTTTTCTTTGTTTTCAATTTGGAGCAGAGTGGGGTGGCAGTGGAGAGAAGCCAGCAATAAGGGTCCCTGTCCCACCTTCCCAAAAAAGGAAGAAAAGGAAAAGAAAGAAAACCAGGAGAAAAGCAGAAGGCCAGATGGAAACAGACAAACAGCTTTGAAAAGCTTTGAAAGCCTTGTTAAGTCAACAAGCATTTATTAAGTGCCTGCTGTATGCCAGGCACTGTGCTAAACACTAGTTGAATTTATGATATACTTAGAACGAAAAGCAAGATGTGTATAATAGAGATTCACCCTCTCATATACAATCTCTTTTTTCCCATTCTACTCTGTATGTGGAAATGCTCATTTTATTTGGTGTTGGCTCAGTTCAGAATAGTTTCTTCAAAAATATGTAAATAAAGGAACTGAGTCTGTGGCTTTTGCTTAACTATTCCAAGGGAAGGCTCCCTGGGAGAGTTGGGGAAGGGGGTACAGAATAGTGAGAAATGAGTGTTATGTCAAAACAAAAGGCTCCAATAAAAATGTTGTGTATATATGTTGTTTTTTAGTCAATTAGTTGTGTCTGATTTGTGACCCTATTTGGGATTTTCTTGGCAAAGATACTGGAGTGGTTTGCCATTTTCTTTTCCAGCTCATTTTACAGATGAGGAAAGTGAGGCAAACAGGAGTAAATGACTTTCCCAGGGTCACACAGCTAATAAGTGTCTGAGGCTGGATTTGAACTTGGGTCTTCCTGACTCCAGGCCCAAGGCTCTATCGACTAAGCCACCTAGCTACCCCTGTGAGTATATGAGTGTGTGTGTGTGTGTGTGTGTGTGTGTGTGTGTGTGTGTGTGTGTGTATAAATACACATGGCACCTAGGTGGTTCAGTGGATAGAACGCTGGGCTTGGGTTCAGGAAGACTTGTCCTTCTGAGTTTAAATCTGGCCTTAGACACTTCCTAGCTGTGTGACCCTGGGCAAGTCACTCAGCCCTGTCTGCCTCAGTCTCCTCATCTATAGAATGAGCTGGAGAAGGACATGACAAACCACTGCAGGATCTCTGCCAAGAAAACCCCAGATGGGGTCAGACATGACTGAAAATGACTCGGCAACACATGCACATACATGTATATGCACATGTATGTGTAGACATGTGTATATGTTTGTGTGTATGTGTGTGTATGTGTATATACGAATATGTGGAAGGTCAGCAAATGTGGACTTCTGCAACCCAAGACAGGCAGGGGTTTCTACTAGGAGAACTCTCCACAGAAAATGCCTTACACCTCCAGAGAGGCATCCTGGAAAGAGCAATGAATGAGGGAGCAACGGCTCTAGGGACCTGGGTTCGAATCCCAGCTCTGGTGCTCTCAGGGATGAAGTCACTTGCTCAGGGTCATGCAACCCATATGCGGCAGAAGAAAAGAGATTTGAACCCGGGTTTCTTTTACTTGGAGGGTGTCTCTCTATCCATTATACTGGGTATGCAAAGTCAATACCAAGGAATGGACGGTGAGAGGGTGTCACTGGCAGGAGATGGTACCTCAGCTGAGCCTTAAAAATAGCTTAGGGGGGCAGCTAGGTGGTGAAGTGGATAGAGCACTAGCCCTGGAATCAGGAGGACCTGAGTTCAAATCTGGCCTCAGACACTTACTAGCTGTGTGATCCTGGGCAAGTCACTTAACCCCAATTGCCTAAAAAAAAAAAAGCTTAGGGGTCTAGGACGTGGAGGTGACAAGGGAGAGGATTCCCAGTACGGGAGACACCTTTGCACAGATACAGAATTAGAATAAGGAATACTGTGTGCTGGGAGCAAGCCAGCCAGTTTGCATGGAATCTAAAATACATGGGGGAGAGTAACGCATGAGCAGCCTGCAAGATCAGAACCAGATTGTGTGGGGCATGAAATGACAAGCAGAGGAATGTGCGTGTCACCTGCGAGGCAACAGACAGTCACTGAGGTTCAGAAGGAGCAGGGCGTTCGAAGGCCAGACCTGGTGGGTAGAGCAGAGGAGAGGTGGAACCCAGGCCTCTGCTGCATCCAAGCCCAAGGCTTCCTTGGCCCCCCGCCCCAGTCTTGCTGCCTCTGAAGCCCACTGCCCCCTCAGGCTCTCATCCCTTGCCCTTCCCTTCCCTTCCCTCCCTAGTCATCTTTCGTTCACTGTCTCCATTTCACCCTCCTACACATACTCACCACTCAATTTCCCCTCCTGGCTTCCATCCAGTACATTTTGCTTTGTAGGACAACACAGTCCAGACCAGTCTTGTCTCCCCTGGGGCCGTTATCCAGCTGCTCACCTCGCCATCTTCTTCCCCTCCATCCTGCCCCCTCTGGGGCACAGGGCCTCCAAAGACCATGCCAAGATTTGGAACTCACCACATTATAGCTGTAGAGCTGGAAGGACACCTTACCCATTTTACAGACAAGGAAGGCGAGGCGCAGAGGGGTTGAGTGACTCACCTAGAGTCCCACGTTTGGTACGTGTGAGGCAGGATTCCGGGGCTGGTCCATCTGGCTGCCTTATCTTCCCCCATACTTGACTCTCTTTTGAACCCCTCAATTTATCGAAGGCTCTGCCTCCCAGATGAAATTTCAGAGTTATCTGACTCCTCCCTCTTCCTCATTCTTCCCATTCCATCACTTGTCAAGGCCATGTGGTTCAGAGGAAGGGGCAAGCTGGTTCTCAAGTCAGAAGACCCAGGTTCAAAGCCTGCCTCTGACGCCTGCTGAGCAATCATGTGACCTCCCTAGGTCTTGGTTTCATGATTTACAAAAATGACCCGGGAGCCTATGATCCTACAGGTGCTTTCACAAGCCTTGTATCTGGAGGAAATTTTCAGCTTTTCTTGTTGCCCCCACTCTGGAAGTCCAGCGTGGTCACTGACTGCTGCCCTGAGATCAGCACCTTACATGGCGAGCCCACCATCCACACATAAGACAACAGGAGAAAATAAGAAAGCGGTAGATAACATAGGAGTCTCTGAATGAGAAAGTATTGATCCCGAAGATGAGGGGAAAACCTCTAGGGCCTCTTGTAGAATCCCTAGCTGTTACTGTTTGTCCTTTGTTTTTGAAGAGGACCAAAGCCATCCCGGGGTGGTGGCTTGACTCGTGAGTGAATTGGATTTAAATGAGTATGAATAGTATGGCAGCGGGAGGTTCTCTCTCTGTCTCTCTCTGTCTCTCTGTCTCTCCCTCCCTTTCTCTCTCTCTCTCTCTCTCTCCTTTCCTCTCTCCTCACTCTCCTTTCCCCTCTCTTTCTCCCTCTGTCTTGCTCCCTCTCTCTCCCTCTTCTTCTCCCCCAACTCTTTACTACTCTATCTTCAGAAGGCTTTCTAGCACTGCCACTCAGTGCCTCAGTTTCTCAGTCCAGGCTCGGGCAAGTCTGATGCTAGCCCTCCAGTCTTTGATGCCATCTCCCTACTGCAAGATGAGGGCACACACACACACAGAAACACACCCAGACATACACACACAGAGACACACACATACACACAGAGACACAGACACACAAACACATGCACGCGCACACACACACACACACACACACACACACACACACAACATGCCCTCTGGAGTCTTTCACTGATGCCCTGTTGCCTTCCCCCTCCTCCACAGGCCTGTCTTCCTCCCCACCATCTTCAGTGTCTCCTAGGGAGCAGCCCAACCCATCAGTAAGTATGTCCCTTGGGGCAAACACACCCCATTTTCTCCAGTTAATCAAATGGGAAACATCTCAGCACTAGCTGCGCTTTGACAATAAAATCTCCCACATCTGAACCTTCCTCTCTCGACTTTCTTTACCAGCCACCCTGTTCAGACCCTCAGTCCTTCTTACCTAACCTATGGCACACGACCCCCTCCCCAACACTGCTGCCTCTAGATCCCCTTTGGCCTGGTCTGTGAGCTTGTTTGTTTTTTAACATTTTGATAACTGTATTTCAACAGCTTTAGTCAGCTGTGCTTTCTGTTGTTACAGCCAAAGAAATGGAAGCTGGATGGTTGTAGTCTCAGTGGATTTTGAGACCCATGAGCAAGCGTTGATTTTAAGTGAAATGAAATAAAATTTAAATTTAAATCCCCCTTTTAATTTGTTGTTGTTCAGTCATTTCAGTCGTGTTTAATTCTTCGTGACCCCATTTGGGGTTTTGTTGACAAAGATACTGCAGTGGTTTGTCATTTCCTTCTCCAGCTCATTTTACAGATGAGGAAACTGAGGCAAACAGGGTGACGTGACTCACCCAGGGTCACACAGCTATGAAGCGTCTGAGGTAGATTTGAGCTCAGGAAGATGAGTCTTCCTGACTCCAAGCCCGGCTCTTTAACCACTTTGCCACCTACCTACACAGTGGGGGAGACAATACACCTACAAATGTATACCAAGCTAGCTATATACAGGCTAAACAGTAAACAATTATGAGACAGAAGGCCCAAGAATTAAGAAGGATTGAGGAAGTCTTCCTGTAGAAGACAGGATTTTAGCTGGGACTTTGAGGAAACAAGGCTTCGTTTGCCCCTTGCAAAGGGTGAGCCCTTTGTAGATTTGAGTGGTACCTTGGGTAAAACTTGGTACTTTGTAAAGGATGTGAAGTATGAGCAGCTCATTGGCATATAACAAAGCCAGGAAATCTGCTGAACCCCTAGACTCGGCTTGAACTTGCCTGAAGAGCACACAACTCCCTTAGACTTTCCCCTAGCCACTCATTTGCATTGACAAACGAGAGCTTAGAGTTTAAAACATGAGAACCCTGAACCCTGGAACCATTTGGTGATTATTGGGTAAATAGCTATTGCCTACTTATAGCTTAGCCTTCAGAGATAAAGATGTGCGAAACCTGTTGGCAGCCACCATAGCCCTGTTCCACGAAGAGGGAAGACTGAGCCTAAAGGTCTCTAGCCTTGAAGGTGACAAGCTTTAGATCCCCACTCTTTCTGAAAGAATTCAGCAGCTCCCCAGCCACAGCTTTCAGCAGAACCTGAAGCTAGAGGTGGTGGAGATTCCAGCTGCCCATTCAAGCCCATTCACATAGGTCCAAGCTGAAGCAGGACTCACAGAGGAATGCAGCTCCTCAAGAGATGTGAAGAAGACCCGCAGGTCATCTAGAGAAAGGGAGGGCGTTAAGCCGTGTGCAGCTGGGAAATTCAGAAGCCTGGGCAGCTGCCACAAAGTGTGGGGCCAGGACTCATCAAGCAGTGCTGTTTGGGGCTTATCCAGCATGAATCAGGATAGATGCTGCGTGTTTATGTCACCTTCCCTTACAGACCTCAGGGAGGTAATTCTGCATCGCCTCGCCTCGTTCCCCTAGAATTCCCTCCTGGAAGACAAACCTTTCCCTCGGGACACGAGAATTTATCTTTATAAATAAAATACTCACCGCAAGCCTTTACTAGTCTGGATATACTTACTAGAAATACGATTGTTGTTCGTCCCTAATTTTCAAAGAGGACCAGTGAAATGTGATAGGGAAGAAGCGATTGAGGGAGAGAGAGATCTAGCAGAGATCTCTCCCAGGCGGAGAGACAAAACAGGCAGAGAACAAGAGAAAGACAGACGAGATCTAACGCTGAAATGCTATTGCCAGAACTCTTTCTCTGACTGGGGGCTTATAGCTAAGATAAAGAGAATTATATATCATTTGATATAACTTCTCAGAGCTGAGGAAGAATATTTATATTCTGCATCCCAGCTAGGTGATGAATTGCAGTAGCATGAGGGAGGAAAAAAATAGAACTAGTTGAATGAATGGGTGGAAGGACGGATGTAGAGTTGCCTGAGGTTCTGATAAGTTAGATGACTTGCCAGCAGTCACAAAGTCATCAGCTGTGGGAAGTGAGACATGAGCCTAAGTCTTTCTGATTCCAGGTCCAGCCCTCTCTCCACTATAACACTCCCTCTCAATAATAAATAAAAGATACTTGAGAAGAGAAATAGTCCCAACAATCAAGGGGATCAGCTAAGGTTTCCTGTAAGCAACTGTGTGGAGCCCTGAAGGAAGCTAGGATTCCCAAGAGTATTTCTAAGAACACTTGGGAAGCCTCTGAATATAGAAAACTCAATTTGTAACATCATAGAGGGGTTAAAGCCAGAGCCAGAGAGCTCAGGGTTTGACCACCTTCTAGTGCTTTGTCCAACCAGATTCAGTCAAAGGACCTGGGTTTGAATCTTGAATTTGCTAGTTATGACTGGTGTGACTTTAGAAAGGTCAGCTCCCCTCTTTGGACCTCCGTTTCCTCATCTGTAAAATGCATAGGCTGGAGTAAATGTTTTTTAAGGTTCTTTCCAACTGACGGTGTTTTATGCATTTGGGGACATACTGGCCCGTGTCAAAGAATGCTGGGACTGTGATTCCTTCTTGACTTCCTGCTCTCCCAGAGGAGGATGACCCGGGTCAGGCTCTCTCCCTGCAAAGGTCTTTGCAGTGCCGCAGGCCTGCTTCAGGACTCTCTGGGCTGCCCACTCCCAGAGGCGGACAGGCAGGCAGGAAGAGAGGAAAGCAGAGGGGCCTGCAGCCTATTTCTGTGCCTTGTCTGCCCCTTTAGACTGTGAACCCCCAGGGCAGGGATCATTTTGTTTGTTTTTTTATTTTCTTCGTACCCCCAGCACTTAGCAGGTGTACCAGGCATACAGTAAGCATCAAAAGAATAATAACAATAATAATAATGATGCTTGTTGATGACAGAAGGGCAGCAGACAGACAGAAAAGAATCTGATGGACACAGGACGGCAGATAGGCTGCAGGGTAGGCTGTGTGTGTGTGCGTGTGTGTGTGTGTGTGTGTGTGTGTGTGTGTGTGCGTGTGTGTGTGTGTGTGTGTGTTATCTAAAAATAAATAGAAACAAGGGGAATTTTTTTTCAAAACTAAATCAAATTTTTTTGTTTTTATTTCACCTTAATTTCTCTCCATATACATCCATGTCCCTGCAGTCCCAGAGAACCATCCCTTATAACAAAGAATTTTTAAAAAGAGATTAAAAAGCAGTTTAGCAGACTGCACCAACAATGAAGTGATCCATACCCGTAGCAACACGTGGCCTCGTTTACCTTTTACACACACACACACACACACAGAGCCTAATTTCCCCTCCCTGCTCTCCCTCCTCCCTCCCTTCTGTTTCCTTTCTCTTCCTGGTCCCGGCTCCTCTGTTCTCCACTGCGCATGTGCACAAGGAGGAGGGGCCTGCGCCTTGGGCGCGCACGCTCTGTCGTCCGGGAGGGGGCGGGGCACGTCGGGTGACATCACCACGCCGGCACAGGCCGGTGGCGGGAAGGGGCCTGAGTGGTAATGGAGGTGGAGGCGAACGGAGCTGCCCCGGCCTCGGCCACGGGCTCGGCCTCAGCCACGGGCTCGGCTCCGGGCAAGGCCCCCGGAACTCACTACGAGCTGCCCTGGTGAGCGAAGGCCGGGCCGGGGGGTGGGGGCCCTCGGGAAGAGGGAGCGAGCATCCACCAGTCAATCAGCAAACACGCATTGATTAGGCGCCCTTCCTATGCACAGCTGTGGGCGGGGCCCTGGGGACTTAACTCTGAACTCCACGCCCTT